CTATCTGACCTGTAGAGGGCCCACAATTGACTGTGGAGGGCCCTAATTTGTCTTACAGAGGGCCTATCTAAGCCGCATTAGGGCCATTCTGACCTGAAGAGGGCCATTATTGACTTGAAGGCACACTCTGGCCTGTAGAGGACCCATCCTGACCTGTGTTAAGGCCCATTCTGGCTGTGAGGGGGCCCACTATCTAGGTTGTAGGGGCCTTATTTTGACATTTTGGAATTGACTCCCGAAGTTTAACAAAGCTCCCGCGCCTCGCCTTCCGTCTTGCAACGAAGCCACGCTTTGAAGGTAGAGCAGGATGCTGCTTCTAATTCCACCGAAGCCTGATTAGTTAGATTCCTACATCATTCCGACAGGATGTGGGTCGCGTGACTGTACCCATGTCTCAGCCCCTTACAGCACCGGAACATAGGTGACCAAGCGCTATCAATCGGAACCGGTTGTCACCATTACTGATACAGCATCATCACGCCCATCCCACTGGCAGTCCCAATAAATAACCCCGAATTTGGGTGCTGGCGCTACCCCTCCAACTTTATTGTTTTAAATTTAGCTATGCATTTAGTCCCAATGGGGCTCTCTCCTCTCCGCGTGTGAGCATATCTATCTTCCAGCCTCTCCCCCTCCCCATTCCCTTTCGGCCGCCTGTGCTCCGTGCTAGGCCAGTCAGGGCCGGGGAGATCCTCCACAGCACCGGCACTCGCTGCGGAGGTGGCGGCCGCCTCCGGTTGTTGGGGCCAGTCAGGGCTCATGAGATCCTCCACAGCACCGACACTCGCTGCGGAGGTGGCGGCCGCCTCCGGTTGTCAGGGCCAGTCAGGGCTCATGAGATCCTCCACAGCACCGACACTCGCTGCGGAGGTGGCGGCCGCCTCCGGTTGTCAGGGCCAGTCAGGGCTCATGAGATCCTCCACAGCACCAGCACTCGCTGCGGAGGTGGCGGCCGCCCCCTGTCACTCGCTGCGGAGGTGGCGGCCGCCTCCGGTTGTTAGGGCCAGTCAGGGCTCATGAGATCCTCCACAGCACTGGCACTCGCTGCGGAGGTGGCGGTTGCCTCCGGTTGTTAAGGCCAGTTAGGGCCGGTGAGATCCTCCACAGCACCGGCACTCGCTGCGGAGGTGGCGGCCGCCTCCGGTTGTTAGGGCCAGTCAGGGCTCATGAGATCCTCCACAAGCACTGGCACTCGCTGCGGAGGTGGCGGCCGCCCCCGGTTGTAAGGCCAGTCAGGGCTCATGAATCCTCCACGGCACCGACACTCGCTGCGGAGGTGGCGGCCGCCTCCGGTTGTCAGGGCCAGTCAGGGCTCATGAGATCCTCCACAGCACCAGCACTCGCTGCGGAGGTGACGGCCGCCCCCGGGTGCGAACCTATGCGTAAAACTGTTTACATCATTAACGATTCTTTAGACGATGGGATGGAGGTGGCCCCAGATTTACACAGTCTGTGTCGACATAGCGCCAGCATCATCAGCTTTAACACATACGTCCATAACATTGCGGTTTTCTTTTAGGCCGTGAAGGACCGCCTTTGATAAGTTTCATGGTGTTTATTTAGGATAAAAGCCTCAGCGTAAATATCATTAATATCGTCGGAGGGGCACACCCGACAGAGGAGCGGGCGGACAGGCAGGCGGGGCGTCCTGCCGTCTTTCAATGCGTTGCTTACATGCGGGTGATAATGGTCGTGCCTTTGTTGACTGCATGCACTTCCCAGCAATATTATCGGGTATTGCTCGTACTAATGCAACCCGAGGATACACCACTCTGCAGAACACCTTACTGAGAAACTGGCCGAGTTTCCACGGCCGGGGCCCTCCCCAGTCTGCCGACGCCTCCCCGCTGTCTGTCGCTGCTCTCCGTGCTCCGTCCCCACCGTGTCGGCCGGGCAGGGGGCAGCGCTAATGGTCATTTGTTTAAAAAGCCCTCGCGTGGGCGGCCAATGGGTGTGACTGGCGGCCGGGGTGCGGCGCGTCCCGTCTGTCCTGTTTGTGCGGGCGACAGGGCTCGGCCGGCAGCCGACCCGGCCACCGGCGCCACTGACAGTTGACTGGGGAGCGAGCCAGAGCTCGTGTCCCTGCAGGTCAGAACAGAGCGGGGAATGTGGGGCGGTCACTGCACCCAGCACAAATATGATAACATGTACGTGATATTCAGCACTGAAAGCGCGCAACAATCATCATAACCGTCAAGCATAACAGCGGTAACATGTCGGCGTTCCGGTTACCACGAAACAGCGGTAACATGTCGGCGTTCCGGTTACCACGAACACATGTGGCCATGAGGTGACGAGGGATTGTCAACGCCACGTGTTCTGCAGCAACAAAACAAACAAAACAAAACTTCGTCTATCGGATGACGGCCTAAACGAACCGAAGTGACGTGGGGAATTCGTGCCGAGCTCGTACGGGCTTGTCAACGGCACATCCGCGAATTCATGCTTTCATGGAAACCCATACCCATCTTCACTGTGATCAGGCACGTATCCGGAATTTTCCTCAGTGGGTAAATGTCAAATTCTCTCCGAAATTTGACTAAATCATTGCGACAACGTGCTGTTTCTGATGAGATCCTCTTGGCTCAGGGACGGGGGCATGACCCGTGACCCCCTTGGCTATATCCCCGACTATGCTTACCCTCGTGCTCACACTCCCGCGCCAGTCCTGCGGTGAAAGGAAGCCAGCGGGACCTCTTCGGCCCACAGTGCGGCTGGTGGCGTCGGCTGCCCTACCTCGGCCACCGCGGCACGACCGTTCCCCGCCCGGCCCCCAGCTGCAGCCAACGGCCGTCACCGCAGCCGGGCGCGCGCGCGCGCGGCACGTGCGCAGGCCGGCCGGCTGCACGTGCCGGCGGCACGTGGCGGCACGCGGCGTGCCCGGCCGGCTGCCGAGCCTGTCGTGGCTAATTGGTTGTGATGACCGGACGCTGGCGGCGGCGGGCCGCCCGCAGCGGCGGTTATGGCGCGGCTCCGATCGTTGCGGCACTCGGCGACCGCTAAATTGCCGGTTCGGCTGCCGGGAAGTATCGGACCAACCTTTTAGCGTGCCCTTCGGTCGGCAGCGCGTGCAGCGGCCTGGAAAAGCTGCCGTCTTTTAAAGCGTTGTGATCGAAGGAGGATGGTGAACTTTTTAATTCGCGGGTATTCAGTAATGATTCGAAGATGGAGGCCGCGTATTCCATACCAACCAGAGCGCGATCAGCGGTCAGGCTTCCCGTTCTCACGGCCCCCTTCGCTGTTTGTGATCCATCACAAGCATTCCCATCAGTACTATTCACAACCCATCACGAGAATCCATCAGCGGCTCAATTGATTGCGCCTCCATAGAGGCTCTATAGTTGGGATAGTGAACAGCCGGCTTAATGACCCCCGTCACCGGTCATCGGCGGCGAGCAGCTTGTGTGGCCCCACGGTGGCGCGGAGGTGTGCCACTGGCGGCGCGCGGCTTTGTGACCTCATGGTGGCATGGAGAACACGCTACTGGCGGCGCGCAGCTTTGTGACGTCACGGTGGCGTAGGGGCTACACCACTGGCTGGTGTTGTCACCAAATTAAGTGAAAAACAATTTAAGTCAACTGTAGGATAGCCGTTGCACTTACTTTCAAGACAAGTAGAAGATTGAGATCATAATAGGATCATCATCAACATTAGAGTTGGTGTCTTCTTCAGAGATGCATGAATGATCTTCAACCATTTATCACGTTAAGATACGCGTGAGATCTTTCTGACAAGACCTCCTCCAGTTGTAATGCATGCATACGGCTCGTTTATCATCTAGTAGAATGCAAACCGGGTTCACATGCTTGCGCTCACGCTACCGAAAAGCCACGAGCTGGTGCGCTGCTGCCACCCATCTCAGCGCGCTGGTCCATCGGACTTCGGATCGGTGGTAGGAGGCGGCCCAGCCACGGCGGATTACCCGACGGTATCGCGGCGCGCTGGTGCTGCTGCCACCCATCTCAGCGCGCTGGTCCATCAGACTTCGGATCGGGTGGTAGGAGGCGGCCCAGCCACGGCGGATTACCCGACGGTATCGCGGCGCATTGTTCAGTGGCCCACTGAATAATTAATGCTACCCAGGCTGGGCCACCGTGCTGCAGCTTGTTTGCAAGACTTTCTTCGTGAGCTCGCACAAAAATACAACCGGCTGCGACGCAATTGCAGGCCGCCGTGTTGCTCGTTTGGAGTTTAGTTCAGTTTAACGACGGCGGTTTTTATAGACGGCAGCGGATCAGTTCACACGAGCTGGTATCGACCAGTCAGAAACGAGCCGCGCCGGGCTGACCTGCCGAGGCGAACGGTCGGTCGCTTCCATGCAGGTCTGTATCTAGTGTTGCCACGTGACGAGACCGGGGCTGACCTGCCGAGGCGAACGGTCGGTCGCTTGCATGCAGGTCTGTATCTAGTGTTGCCACGTGACGAGACCGGGGCTGACCTGCCGAGGCGAACGGTCGGTCGCTTCCATGCAGGTCTGTATCTAGTGTTGCCACGTGACGAGACCGGGGCTGACCTGCCGAGGCGAACGGTCGGTCGCTTCCATGCAGGTCTGTATCTAGTGTTGCCACGTGACGAGACCGGGGCTGACCTGCCGAGGCGAACGGTCGGTCGCTTCCATGCAGGCCTACATGTGGTGCTGCCACGTGACGAGACAGTGACGGCAGTCGGTCTGCCCGCCCGCCGGGCCACTGACAGACAGCCGCTCCTGACGGGACCTGGACGGACTCGCTTTGCCATCCGTGTGTGACGTCCTCCGCAGTGGCGAGTTCGGACGCAACTGGTGGCCAGCCGGCCGACTTCAAGAATGAGAAACCCGCAGCAAACGACCCGACTTAGACCGCGGCAACATGAATAATGCACGTCCGAGCGGGCAATTTTGGCGCCTAAAATCCGACGTTGTGAATGTCTGAGCGTCCAGCTCAGCAAGAATGCAACACTTATACGGAGACGTGCTTGAAATTGGTTTGTCATGAATATTTGCGGCTTTATCTATCCAATCTGTGTGTAGTTTGTTCTCCGACCGGACGGCTGTGGTGAGATCATTCCATGGATACGCTGCTCCAGTACCTCAGAAATCTGTGGCGAGTGGTCAGCTCGAGACTTTGTGCGCCATCGGTGAATACCTGTGCTCATCTCATCCCTCTGTTTTCAGTTTGCCGGTCCTGCATCTTGCGACACTTGGAGGCCAGCAGTTACTGTCCTGTGTGTGACGTTATGATACACAGGACCAAGGGCTCCTCTAGTCTCAAGTAAGGCTCATGACTGCATGCGTTTGCTTGTGAGGGTGTTGGAAGTTGAGGCCGAATTTTATTGGCCATTGGGTGATAGTAATGGTCTATGACATACCTTGCGGGCTCTGCGGTTTGGGATTGTGCAACCGTAACTCCTGCAATTTGCGAAGTCAGCTGTTTGACACGAATGGGAATGTACAAGCCTGGCTAGAAAGGGCCTCGCACAGTCTTATGATTTTTTTATGGAGGGGTACTCACCTTAACTTGTATGCTACCAAAAGCTTGCACATAACACTGCATTTCATACCAGAGACCTGATTTATCCGCTCACAATGATGCGTTCAGGTCCTAAAGGAAATCCGCGCGACGTTAAAGCGCACAAACTCACGATCAGGCCCGTGTTCGATAAATATTTTGAGATGCAATTTGTTATTGATTCATGACCGATTTTGAACGATTCAATTCTGATTTACATTATGATTCTTATAAGAGTCGAATTATTCCCAACTCACACTCCAGTTTAGCGATTCAGATTCAGATCAACTGATCATTTCTTACTTTGCTAAGCGATTCGTCATTGATTTATCCGTGGGTGAAGCCAGTAACCACTTGAAGTGGGATTTTTGGCGCACCAATCTTGTCAGAATGGGATTTTTTCTTCATCAAATGTTGCCCTTACAACGCATTTATTTGTATTTGGTTGTCCACGGATCACAATTTGCTCCCCGTCCCAATCCCGATATTTTCCCCAATTTTAGGGTGGCTGCATCCATGGCTGCATACCGCGCTCAGCGATTCCGCACTGATTTTCACACTTCGTAGCTAAAACACGATTGATTCTCGGTCAAGATGGATTACATTTTAGACAGGGTTTCAGGAGAAGGAGTGCTGCCAATTAGTTGTCAAGATTATCGATTTCGGCGCTGATGTCTGCTTCTTTGGAAGTTTAAAATCAAGCCTCTGAATCCAGCAAATTCGGTTTGCGTGGATCATGGCTCACTGAAGAATGCATTAAAAAACGCATACCGTATCCCGCATCTATCCACAATTGTCAAGAACTCGCGTAGTAAAAGCAAAAACCAGAAACCCTGCATTATCAACTATCAAAATCATGAAATAGATGCGAAGATAAGATTAGGTACTTGAAGAGAGACTAATTTTATTGCCTTTGGGCAGTCGCATCGTACAGTAGCAATGCCCTTTTTCTACTGAAAGGCCAGACAGAGGCAAGTAGGTCTTTTCAGCACAAGAGAAAAAAGACATGATACCTGCTGGTACTAATGGCTTCATCTTACCTTAATCTGGTTGCCCGGTAATTTATGCCTAATGCTAGTTGCTGGTGTGCAGTCGTTGAACTTGAGGAGGCAGTTATTATTTGGTTGTGGGATTTCAATCAATTTAGGGCTTATTGGATGTGGCTTTGGTATAATAGGAGAAAGCTGTGATGCATGCGCAGCTTGATGAGTGACATCACTTATCACTGGATAAGTGATAAGTAATAAGGTAGAGATGGCACCTAGGTCAAGATTTAGGTAAGCGTTCTGTCTGGTATGACAGCCTTTGTCAGTAAGGCACCATTGGTAAGCACTGTGCTGACAGGGCTTGATGGAGCATGTCGAACTCCGCTTGTCCAAATCAAACAAGAGGATAATTTGTGTACAAATTTGTGAACAATTTATGAAATCGTTTCATTTAGTCCTCGCATAGACTGTGTAGTCCAGATCGACTCTTACTCGCAGGGCAAACTGTTTGCGTCACGACTTGCGTTTCAAAGCAAACTATTCGCGTCACGACTCACATTGCGGGGCAAGCTAATTGCGTCACGACTCACTAAAAGAAAAAAGCCGAATCACCTGTGCCTCATCCGAAGGTGGTGTGATTCACGAATCGTTGGTGGATTTATCTTGAAAGAAACACAGGCCTGCTCACTACCCATGCAGCTCAACTGACATATCCTTTCTGCTTTATTTCATGGTAATGACGGCAATGAACACTTTAGAAACCCAATAATGATAATCGACCTGCAATATACGGGAATGTAGGTACAAGCGAACATCAATATATCAATGATACCCACTCGAACATCATACGAGGAGATAAGTACAAGCGACATCAAGATATCAATGATACCCACTCGACAAGTTAAATAAAAATTAAAAAAAAAAATAACAGCTAATAATATTTCACAGGACATAAAATAGCTTTTTAATCATATCGATCATAGCATTTTGTCGCACAAGCATCTCTCGTGAGCTTTATGTTGGATTCGTCTCAACGGAGCTCGTGCTGTCGGGGGCTGCTTCGGATTTTTTTCTGCCCGCCTGTCAGACAGACAGCGCCTACCGACATGACGTCGGTGTCCGGCCTGTTCCAACCAATCAGCGCCACACAGAGATCTAATCATCACCAGGCTACAAGACAAAAAAAAAGCAGCGGCACCTGCTGATTCGCGCAAGATAGACGCCGCCAGCGCAGCCTTTATTTTTGTGCGTTGATGCTCGATAACTCAGGAATAACTATAATCGAAAATATCTCAGGAAGATTGTCATTAGTTTTTGGCTACGACGCCTCCGCTGCTCGCCATCCGCGTGAAGCAGAGAAGTCGACGCCTCCGCTTCTGGCCATCCGCGTGAGGCAGAGTAGTAGGGCCCATGCCCACCATAATGCTCAATGCCCATTTAACGACTTTTGACATTAACCGCTCGCCAACTTTGTTTGCATTTTGATGACTCACGGTGAGTAAAGTTACATGCTGCTCTCCTAAATCGCATCTTTCCTGATGCCTGTACGCCATCCCGATGCCTAGTTAAAATAAACGGAGCGCCATGATCATCAGCCACGGCCAGACGAACCCGTTGGACCAAACGGGTCAACGTGCAGCAACTGTACCCCAACCACCCATCGGTGCCGAAAACCGCCCAATCTGTCCAAGTCACGGAAAGGTTTTAACCAACTTAAGACAATGTGTCCCACTTTCTTCCAGGGCAGACCGCATTCTTCAGACCATGGTGTACAAAATGATTCCCGGCCTGTTCAGAGGCGAGATGAAACGACGGCGAGAGTTCTACCAGATGAAGCCGTACGCAGGTGAGCCCACGGAGCCCGTCGAGGCCGGTGTGCACCACCCTGCGCACCTTCTGCGCCCATCCGCATCGGCTGACCTCCTCCGCTGTCCATCAGCGCAGGCTCACGTCCTCCGCTGCCCATCAGGCAGGCCCACCTCCTCCGCTGCCCATCAGCGCAGGCTCACCTCCTCCGCTGCCCATCAGGCAGGCTCACCTCCTCCGCTGCCCATCAGCGCAGCCAGTCGCCTGCTGAGCGGCACGCCTGCTTTACAGCATTCGATGCGCGTTGTGTATGCTAATGCCAGCGGGCGCCTGGGTATCGATCGCGCCAACACGTGGGCGCACTTTGGGGACGTTCACCGGCGGTCCGGCCCGCGCGGCAGCTTATTTCGAACGAGTACCACGTGCTCAATTTGTGGACGACTCTCTGGAACAGACGAGGCAGATCAAAACAGGACGAAATGATTGGACAGGGCCTCGGCGTAAGCGCTGTGCATGATCGGAGCCAAACATGTGGTGTGGTGTGTGCAAATGCGAGCGGGTGAGCGTTTCCGGCCGGTCTTTTCCCCCTTGTGCATCGAGAGCGCAGCAGCATAATGAGGAAGCTCGTCTGCTGCTGCTGCTCCCTCTCCCATTTTCTTTCTCTCTCTTTCTTTTTTTTTTTCTTCTCTCTCTCTCTTTATTTCTTTTTTCTCTCTCTTTCTCTCTCTCTTTCTCTCTCTTCTCTCTCCTCTCTCTCTCTCTCTCTCTCTCTCTCTCTCTCTCTCTCTCTCTCTCTCTCTCTCTCTCTCTCTCTCTCTCTCTCTCTCTCTCTCTCTCTCTCTCTCTCTCTCTCTCTCTCTCTCTCTCTCTCTCTCTCTCTCTCTCTCTCTCTCTCTCTCTCTCTCTCTCTCTCTCTCTCTCTCTCTCTCTCTCTCTCTCTCTCTCTCTCTCTCTCTCTCTCTCTCTCTCTCTCTATTTCTATCACTGCGCTGAAGGGATCCTGCGAGACATAAACGTGGCCTGGCATGGCCACTCTGTCTGACTCTCCCCCTGAGTTGTTGTTGCTACTCTGTGCTCGGTCCACGCCTGGCTCTGAGCTACTCCACACTCGGTCCGCTTCTGACTCTGAGCTGGGGCCGCCACTCCGCGCTCGGTCCACTCCTGATTGGGCTCGGTCCACTCCTTACTCTGAGCTGGGGCCGCCACTCCGCGCTCGGCCCGCTTCTGACTCTGGTCCGCGTCTGACCATGGCTGGAACCGGCTCTAACCCGGCTCCGCCACCCCGGCTGACACCGGCCGTGGCTTGGCGCCGTCCAACGCTGACTCGGAGTCGCGCCGACGGGTGGACCGGCCGGCCGGCGGACGGCGCGGCGGACTGATGTCACGGCGTCGGGCGGCACGAGCGAGACACGTGACTGGCCAGCCGCCGTGCAGGCCCTTCAGATGCGGCGGCAGATACGACGGCGAGACGACACGCGCCGCGACCGTCGGGCCGTCCTGGAGCGTGGCCGGAGAGCGGCCCCCCAGACGGTACCAGCCGAGGACGACGGCACACACTAGGGAGCCTAGCGCCGGGCTTCGATCGGTCCCGTGACTGACACAGACCCGGCACCCGTCCCTGCGGTCCCCCGCCCTTGCTGCCAGGATGAGATGCATGCGATGCCACACGGCCTCAACAGCTGAGTGCGTCGTAAAGTCCCAATGACGACAGCAGACCGACACCCGGGACTGCGATAGAGAGCAGGTGTGGAGCCCATTACTTTTCTGGCGCCGGTGCCAGATTACTACGACAGATTCCGTGGTCCATTCATACGATATAGTTATGTACTTAATGAGCATGATGCAACCCATCACCTTAAGCTGTCACGGATCCACGGTCCCATGGGCTGTTATGGGTGCCACTGATCGGTAGGTCTGGCGGGTAGCGTCGCAGCTGGTACGGCGCGCCGCACCCTCGCGACGTGAGGTCACCTCCCCCACCACTGGACCGGCACAGGGGGCGGCCTCTCACAAAGATCGTGCCGCGCCCAGGGCCGGCCGCGCGACCGACGTCCCGCCGCTTCACGAGCCACGCTCACAACAAGGCCATCTGTGTGTGTCGGTGCCGCCGCCGCAGGGCGCCGCCCGAGACGTGCTCCGGCCACCGACCGACGCTGCACGGCGTGCGTCGAGACCGGCCGCCCGCTCCGCGCTGGCGCCGACGTAAATCAGTGCAGTGGCTCGTCGCTGTCATCTCCTCGGTCTTGAGCATGTCCTCACGTCCAGGGGTCCCGGGGTTAAACGGGATCTTCTTCAGGTGGCCCATCTCCCCGCGGGGTCTCCTCGGCGTGGTCTCCTCTCCACTGGACTTCACCTTGACTTGTTATTCCCGTCCACCCTTCCAGGTCATCCCTCCATCCAAACCCCATCCACATATGACTTCATCACATCGCTCCCACACCCCTTAGGCGCGCTGTCTACACTTTTGACCTACCCGTCCCAGACCTCCTCTTTACCGGACTCTTTCCAGGCCTGCCCTCACGGGACCCCTCCCAGTCCCCTCCTACATCTGATCCTTTTCAGGCCTCCCCCGACCAAAACCCTCCTAAACATCCTTTCCGCCTGACCTTCCTCGAGATACCCTCTTCGTCATCCCCTTCCTAGACCTCTGTATCGTACCCCTTCTTATACACCCTATTGCACCGGAAACATTTCCATACCTCGTCTTCACCAGACATCCTCCAAGACCTCCTCTGCGTAGGCCCCTCCAAGACCCCTCCACGGGCCCCCTCCCAGATCTCCTCTCCACGGGCCACTCCCAGATCTCCTCTCCACGGGCCCCTCCCAGAACTTCTCTCCACGGGCCCGTCCCAGTTCTCTCCACGGGCCCGTCCCAGTTCTCTCCACGGGCCCCCCTCCCCCCCCGACCCCTCCACCATCCCCTCCCAGACCTCTCCACGCCCCCCCCCCCCCGACCCCTCCACCATCCCCTCCCAGACCTCTCCACGGGCCCCCTCCCAGACCCTCCCTCACGGGCCCCTCCAGATCTCTCCACAAACCCCCTCCCAAACCTTCTCTCCACGGGCCCCTCCGAGAACTTCTCTCCACGGGCCACTCCCAGAACTTCTCTCCACGGGCCACTCCCAGAACTTCTCTCCACGGGCCCACTCCCAGAACTTCTCTCCACGGGCCACTCCCAGAACTTCTCTCCACGGGCCACTCCCAGAACTTCTCTCCACGGGCCACTCCCAGAACTTCTCTCCACGGACCACTCCCCCCCCCCGACCCCCCTACCGTCCCCTCCCAGACCTCTCCACGGGCCCCCTCCCAGACCCTCTCTCCACGGGCCCCTCCAGATCTCTCCACGGGCCCCTCCCAAACCTTCTCTCCACGGGCCTCTCCAGATCTCTCCACAAGCCCCTCCCAAACCTTCTCTCCACGGGCCCCTCCCAGACATCCTCTCCGGCAGCACGCGTGGCGCAGCGGTGACTGCCAGGTCGTGGCCGAGGTCGCCGCGACAAATTATCGGTTCGGCGACCGTGGCGTCCGCCCCATTGTTCGTGGGGCGCGCGGCGGCGGCGAGAGCGGCGCGGCGGCGGCGGAGAGCGGCGCCAGCGCAGCTCTCCATTGTGTTGGGTCACGCCGGCCTCAGCCACCGGTCAGCGACCGGCGGCGGCTGACACCACGCTGAAGGGTGGCTGGGCTGAAGGTAGCTGAGCTGAAGGCGGCTGAACTGAACGGTGGATGAGTTAAAGAGTGCCTGAGCCGAATAAAGCTGAGCTGAAGGGTGGCTAAGTTGAAGGGTGGCTGAGCTGAAGGTTGCTGAGCTGAAGGGTGGCTGAGTTGAAGGGTGGCTGAGCCGAGAGGTGAATAAGGTGAAGGATGGGCTGAGGTAAACGGTGGGTGAGCTGAAGAGTGGGCCATGTGAAGGGTGGGTGGCTGAGGGTGGGTAGCTGGGGGGTGAGCTGAAGGATAGGTGAGCTGGGGGTTGGGTAAGGTGAAGGGTAGGTAAGCTGAAGGGCGGGTGAGCTGGGGGTGGATGAGGTAAAGGATGGACCAGGTGAAGGCTGGGTGAGGTGAAGGGAGTCCGAGTTGGTGGGCGGATGGGCTGGCTGGTAACCCGTACTCGTTTCATCCATCAGCTCAGTGCCAGTTGTGCCGTGCGACATGTAGCTTAGCTCTCAGGAAGCTAGCTCTCAGACAACTGAGCAAGGCGTATCACCTCTGGGAGCATCGAGCTAGCCAGCTGACCCGTCCATGAGTTAGCTGGTACCATGAGCCCGATGTGGCCACGTAATTGTGGTTCCAGCTTTGTTTTACGTCGAATTCATCATCGCTGAATATTCGTACCGGATGACGGCGAAACGCTAGACCGGTAACCGGACTTGAATCCACGGCTCAGCGTGCGGCCGGAGGTGAAGACTGTACCAACCGTGCTTCGCCGTCCCTCCGCCACCTGGGTCCAGTTCCTTTTTGGCAAATACCTACCCGAGGTAGCTACTAAGATGACGCAAGTGCCTACGTCACGCGTATGCAACTATGCTCAAAGGCGTAGAAACTGTTGTGACGCACTTACCTGCCATGTCGTAAGTTGGCAACCTGTGGACGGCATTTGACCACGGGAAACGCGGCTCTGATGTCGGATGATACCAAACACACAAGGAGTGAATAGCCAGTCACGGAGCCCTCCTGGCGTTGCTTGGCTGGAGGCTAGGGATGGTCGCTGGCCACTGCCGGCACCTGTCCTTCTTCATCTGACCGTTCTCCTGCCAGCCAGAGCCCTTCATTTTCGTCGCATGTGGCTGGAATGGGCCGTATGTACGCCGCCTGACAAACGACGGCGATAAATCGCCGAGAAGCGAGCCCTCCAGGCCGCCGGATCGTGGCTCGATTGGGCACAACTTGGTCTGAGCGGTTCCCATCGGGCCGCAGCGGCGTCCGTGGAGGAGTGCTACTAACACTCGCCGGGGAGACGGCGGGTCGTGGAGGGTGCTACTAACGCTCGGGCCGGGGAGACGGTGGGCGTGGAGGAGTGCTACTGACGCTGGACCGGGGAGACGG